TGAATCCCAGTTCAACTGTTGTTGAATTTTGTCAATCTTGATGGCGAAGGCTCATGGCCTGAGTCCCAGTTCAACTGTTGTTGAACTTTGTCGATCTTTGATGACGAAGGCTCGTGGCCTGAGTCCCATATTGTGGGTATTGAGTGCTGAAGCTCGGTTTGGATTCGAGACCTTAAGCGGCTCATCCGTTGTCTTCCCAACCAAGGTTTATAGGCTGTCTTGAGGCGACTCTCGGCTCGAGATATCTCCGTGCCGGTTTCTGGCCGGAGCTCGTATCAGGGATGTGGGAGATGCCTTACAGAAACCTTCCCTTAGGAGGGGGGGGGGGGCTGCTTCTTCTTGTTTGCACCATCTGATAGATGAGAGACAGAGGAACTGGATCTCGGTTCGAGATCTTCGAGTTCCATCGGCCTGATATGCCGCTTTGGCTTGTTTAAGCTGGGTTGTTCTTCCTTTTCCGGCGTTTCTTTCCTTTTGGTCCATGGAAGAACTACGCGATTTTGCTATGAAATCCCCACAGACGGCGCCAAATTGTTCGCTCAAAAGTTATCACATATCTTATGAGTATAAAACAATATAGATAAATCACGGGAAAATCATAGCAAATCGTAATAATCCATTGGACCAAGTGAAGAACATGAAAATAAGTACTCAAGGTTAGGGGGAGAAATATTAAAAGCCTTTATTGATAATACTGGTTTGGTCTGCCTCTCCATGAAGAGGTTCAGAGCCTTACAATGGTATTTTCACTTCCCATAAGATGGGTATGTTTTTCTCTTCTCTCTCTCTCGTCAATAGTGGTGAAGAAGCAGCCCCCTTTCTAGGGCTTCCACTCTTAGTATTTATAGATGTGAGCTTCGTGAGCTGGCAATAAATGGCCGTGGCGACGCTGAGGTTCCGTCCCCATAGGGGAATGAATGGGCCGTGCCCTCGTAGATTAAATCGGACAAGAGTCGAATCCTCTTATGAATAGTGGCCATACCACTTATTAATTATGGATTAGCTCAAGACGAAATTAACTCCGTTAATTACCGTGAGGTCAGATTCTGACCCATACAGAATTAATTTGCCGGAAAGGAAACTTCTGCTTGTCGAAATGTTTCGAACGAATTTTCAAGCTTCTGCTCGTTGAAGAAATTGAGCTTCTGTTCTTGAAAATTCAAACTAAGAAAGGATAGGTTCTTTTAGGATTTTTGGTCATTTTCTTTTGGTTCCTTTTCTCTAAATGAGACATAGAATCAGATTGTGTCTAAATGTTTTCCTATGAAGTTCTAAGTATTCTTAGGTAGCCACCTAATACTTAGAGTGACTAAGAGTCACTTTATGCTGCCACGATTATTTGGGGCGTAAATTATTAAGTTTTTATTCACTTATTAGTTAATTGGATAATGTCCTGTTATCCGATAATTAATCAATTACCCGAAAAATTTAAAAATTACCTCAAATTACATAAAATTCTACTTATTCTTAATATACTTTATATATATTTTATACATTATACTACCGTGGTCATATGGTACCTTGCATGGTACTAGTTTATAATTATCGGGTATTATCGCTCGACCCGTATTTTATCCCAAATTGGTCACTTTCAACGAAACTCGTTTTCTTTAATTCGTGTACCCCTTTATCTTTCATAACACTTATTTATCGCTTGTTATAAATAGCGTAAATACGTTAACGTCAAGATGATCTCATCCCCGAGTCTACGTCAATTAACTGAAGACGAAACTTTTAACGTACGAAAACGCGAGATGTAACACTCGGGACCTCGTCCAAACATACCAACAAGTCCCATAATATAACACAGACCTACTCGAGGCCTTAAAACACATATAACAACATCAAAACAACGAATCAAACCTCAATTCAAAATCAATGAACTTTGAAACTTCAAACTTCTACAACTGATGCCGAAACCTATCAAATCACGTCCGAATGACCTCAAATTTTGCACACAAGTCACATTTGACATTATGAACCTGCTCCAACTTCCGGAATCAGAATCCGACCTCGATATCAAAAAGTCCACTCCTGGTCAAACTTTCCAAAATTCCAACTTTTGCCATTTCAAGCCTAATTCTACTACAGACCTTCAAATCACAATTCGGGCGCGCTCATAAATACAAAGTCAGTCAACGGAGCTAACGGAACCATCAAAACTCCAATCCTAGGTCAAATACTAAAAAGTCAAACTTGGTCAACTCTTCCGATTTTAAGCTTCCTAGCTGAGAACCATTCTTCCAAATCAATTTCGAATAACCTGAAAACCAAAACCGACGATTCACATAAGTCATAATACATAGAACGATGCTACTCAAGACTTCAAATAGCTGAACGGGATGAAAATGTTCAAAATGACCGGTCGGGTCATTACAACTTCTATAAAGAGCGTTGTCTATATGATCACAAAAACAATTAATGTGTCTATTGACCATTGATGACAGTTTCTTTATATACCCAATATTTTTTTCTGTATTTTACTGTTTAATGTGGAATTAGCCTAACGTGTTACACCCTTACAAGTTACAACTCCTTTATTCATGTTTATTTATGTGTTCCTATTTGATGACCTAGGGTATAAAATGTTAGCTTATTTAAGTATCATGTATCGTGACATAACAATTGAATACTTTACTTATATGATAGGAGAAAAATTGCGTCAATGTCTAAACTTGCTTCATTAAATAACTTTGAATTCTTCAAACAGGCTTGGTGTAACTGTTTAAACCTCAAAAGTATTGAATGCAAGACTTCATAGTTTTTCTTCCTTTAATTAATAAAACATCGGTTTCATTATTTAATTCAACATTGTGGCTTAATATGAAAGAATCTCATATCACTGCAAAGTAACAATGAAATAATATTAAATCCACATTCTCCACATTAACTTAAAGAAATTCTTCACAAGTCAAAGGTACAACCTATTCTAGATATTTTCTATTTAATTTAATTTTAACCATCTAATATTGAGAACCACCGTCGACCCGACAAATTCAGAATCATGCCACATTAAGTTTGACTTTACTATCTCTTGCCATTGCTGCTAATTGTGTGCTTGCGCTCCAATATATACAAGACCATTTCCTTCTGATAAGTTATGTGCCTTCAGTTTTTTGTTTTGATAATTTAATAAATTTCATGAGAAAATCAAATACGGAACCTGATGCAATTGGTTCCTCAGCATTCAGAGCAATAAGTCAAATATCTAGTTCAATTCTCAATGAAATCAGATTAGGGAACAAAAGAGGGAACAATAGAGATCGGTTCCTCCGGTCACAATGCAAGTTAACATTTAAATAATTGTTAAAGTTGTTGCACTGTACACGCAACAGTACAACAACACTGTTGAAATATGCTGTGTACCAGACACTCCCTTGCATCATCTTTGATGACCTCACTCATATATTATCAAGGTGAGGCAAGGGATTTCAACACACACTTGCCAAACCTAAACATTAATTACTCTCAAGTGTGCAGCCGCCTTCATTCTCTCTGAAGCATTGAAGAACAAAACAACAACAGAACAAAGGACCAGATCCCAGCATTGATTATATTATGTGTCTTTTAGTATTACTGTGTCTTTGTTCATGTTATTTATTTGTAATTCCTACTCAGCTTTTCAGAAGCATTTCGTAGGACATCTTTTAAATCATAATCTATGTGGTTGTTTTGACTAGAGTTAGTCAAATGGTTGGCTTTGTAATAGAGTTACTACAAAAAGGCTTACAATATAGTTATTATGAGTAGGTGAGGGATTAAGGGGTCGTTTTGTACGAGGGATAAGGCGGGATAAGATGTGGGAATAAATTTAATCCCAAACTTAATCCAGGATATTCCATCTCATCTAACCTTAGCCCATCAAACCTGGAATTATTTTACCCCACCTCCCATATGGTATAAATTAGTCATGGGATTATAATCCCGGGATAATTTAGTCCGCGTAACAAATGATCCCTAAGAGTTTAATCCCTAGATAACAATAGGTTGTAATCTAAACTTTACTCAGTTAGTGAAGTTGAAATCCTACCAGTGTAGGTCGTGATTATTAATCCCATGAGCTGAGAGTTTCCACGTAAATATAATTGTGTTATTTACTTATTGTTGTGTTCTGTGAAAACTGATCTATACAGTTGGTGAACTCCTAGTTTACATCACCTTCAAACGATGCAAGTAAATCAGAGGTAGATTGAATTTTATGGTGTATGAGCTACGTTCCATATAAGCCGAAAGAAGTCTTTTTTCTTCTAATTTATTATCTTGAGAAATTTAATTTTATAGATAGTTAAGATATGATAAATGTGTAATGTACATGCCTAGAGACCAGGTTTAACATAAAAATATATCTTCAAAATAAAGGCGAAATATATAGATATATTGTAAAAATTGTTACCAAACAATTAGAAGAAGGGTGGAGAGGAGGTTGAAAATATGAACCCTTGATGTTAAATTTGGAAAGAAAGAAATTTAAGGAGTTTCAAGCAATCTAAGTTGAGTGAAAATTAGTACGTCGTTTTTCGTCATATTGGCGTGGGGTTCATAAACACTTTTATCAAGAAGCGGTGTCTAACTATATGGTTACTAGAACAGTTAATGTGTCTATCGACTGTTTATATGATAGCTTCCTTATATGCCCAGTATCTTTTTCGATTTTATTGTCTAATGTGAAATTTGCCTAGTGTGTTACATCCTTACAACTCGTTTATTCACGTTTAATTTATGTTTTACTTGAGTGGACCTAGGGTATAAAATGTTAGCTTATGTAAGTATATATCATGTATCGTGACATAACAAGAGAGAATTGACATATTAATTGAAAACTATACTTATATGAAAGGAGAAAAATTGCATCAATGTCTAACTTGCTTCATTAAATAACATTGAATTCTTAAAACAAGCTTGGTTTAACTGTTTAAACTTCAAAAATATTGAATGCAAGACTTCATAGTTTTTCTTTCTTTAATTAATAAAACATCGGTACTTTCATTAATGAACTTCAACAATATTGTGCCTTGATATGAAAGAATCTCATATCACTGCAAAATAACAAAAGAGTCTTCAACTGAAGAAAAAAAAACAAAGAAATAATACTACATCCACAGTCTCCACATTAACTTAAAACAAAATCCCATAAAGGAAATTAAAGTGCATGCAGTTGAACTTATTAACTATAAATCCTGAATCCGCCTCTGCAAGTTTAAGTTACATATCTCGATCGTAAGGTATTACGATGATTTCTACTCTTGGTGATGCGTTTGGGGACAGCCTCAGTAGTTCATAATCACATCGTACTTTACCTACATCAAGTTCATCATAGGATCCAACGATCATCTTTGAAAGTGAAGGGGAATTTGCTAGGATTAGCTGTAAGAAAATGAGCTCAGATGTTGTGCCTTGAAATTCTGTTACTTCCACATATTCAAGCCTCTCAAATTGTTGGTCAACACAGTTTCGATCTGCCAGATAATTTGTAACTTCTACGCTGCTCCCACTACTAAAAACCTATTGATTTTCATATGATGCAAACAAATAATATTAGTAATGCATTATGCATACCACTCTAAGAATGAAATTCTGAGTTTAACTTATATATATTCATAGTGTAAAATTTTGTTTTTTTACACTATTAGATCATGTTTACATGTTGTTGTATGTAAACCTGCCATATGTTAAAAAATATTACAATACCACTTCTTAAGTATGATTACCGGCATATATTTTTTTATTCGATGACCTGATAGTATATAAATTTTTTTCACATTGTCACTGTATATTAGTTAAACTCAGATATCTACCGTTAACCCTCTTTAAAAAGTGAAACTTGTAATATTATAAGTAAGACAACTTACTTATTACAACATGTGAAGGTGTGACATGATAGTGTAAACATTTTTACACTAACGGTATATATTACTACTAAACTAAGGACAGCCCGGTGCACTAAGCTCCCGCTATGCGCGGGGTTTTAGGGAAGGATCGGACCACAAGGGTCTATTACACGCATCCTTACAATAACTAACGTTATATATTACTAAACTAAGGGCAGCCCGGTATACTAAGCTCCTGCTATGCGCGGGGTTCGGGAAAGCCAGACCATAAGGGTCTATTATACGCAGCCTTACGCTAACTAACGGTATATACTATTAAACTAAGGGCACGCCAGTGCACTAAGCTCCTGCTATGCGCGGGGTTCAGGAAGGCACGGACCACAAAGATCTATTATACGCAGTCTTACACTAACGATAAATATATAACTTAAAATCATGAATTTAAAACTATTGAAGATGAGATAGTGATCTTACATCTATCTCTAGTGAGCGCAAGTTGGGAGAACTTCGAATCAAGGAAAGAACACCAGAGACTTGATCAATATCACCAAACTCCACACGCAAATTTACATCCTCCAAATGATAGGCTTTGAATGGAAACCTTTTAGGAATATTTTCTGCACCCAAAAGCTTTGTAAAAGAAAAACAAAAAGCAAAAATAAATTAATAATTAAGTAAATATGAGCTTAAAAATTCGTTAAGAAATTTTAATAAAAAAAATAAAACATCTTATATTAATTAGATACTCACCCCAATGCAAGAATTACTCAAAGCAAGCCCTCTCAGATTAGAGCATACAAAAAGAAGCCTTGACCATGTAATGAACCTCTCTTGTTCATAATTTGCTGATTCTTCACCAATGAATATAACAATGCACAAAACCTTAACATTTGGGAAGTTTTCTAGAAAATTTGCACAAATTTTATGACTCTTATAAATAGTCAAGAATTCAACCTTTGGAGCAGAAATGTTGAGGAAATGAATACCATTGCAGGAAGTGAATGTTAAGGTTGAAAGTAATGGGATAGTAAAGAAATGATTTGCTATGTCTTGGCTAAATTTGATGGATTTCAAATTTAGTTCAAGGAGATTTGGAAATAATATGGTGGGATAAGGTGGTTTTACTAAGCAATTTGTGATATATAAATATGTGAGAGTTGAGCAATCAAATATGCAAAAGGGTAAGATACAAGGATCATGGTTGTAATTATCTAAGATTACTTCCTTGACATTTTTTATGGTTACATTTAGCAACCAATGGTCAAGGTCCCAATTATAGAAATAGAACATTGACATATCAAGGGTAAATTTGTCAATGGATCCAATATGCTGCAAAATAACTTTGTCAATTATATCACTAAAATAGTTATATTCAATCATTCTCCTATTACCAACTGTCTCTCGAAAAAATTGTCTGTCTAGAATAAGATTTGGATGTGCAGTCCAAAATTTTCGCCATTTTTTTGACAAGACACATGTTCTTGTCACTTCTCGAAATGACATGTCTTTAAATATTATATGGATAATTTCTTTGGGCAAATCGGAGATCCTGTCTATCCCATCTTGGTCGTCAACAACCATCTTTCTACCCTTGTTCATCCTTCTGTACATAATACAAGTCAAACTTTAATCCACATTAAGAAAATAATCAATTAAAAATCTTTCAAAATCCTCCATAACCCTTGATCGACTATATTCATATAAAAGGTACAAGATAATAGGATGTCACAATTTTTCACATGTACACAAATTATTTATATGGCAACCTAACCACAATCCATTTCTAAAACAATAGAATTTTGCATCTACATAAAGGAAATCCACACAAAATTGGTACATCTCTAATGTAGATATGAAAGAAATGGACCGTGAATTAATTTATTCAAAAGAAATATTAAGGAATTCTTATGTTTTGTGGATCTTTAAGATTTTTATATCCACAGCTTGTTAGATCTGATGAAATATAAATCAATGATTATTTGTCAATTATAAATGTATTTGAGTCACATATCCATTTTAATTTTAATCTTGTTAGGAAATTCATACAACAATTGAACAGAGAAAAAGAACATAGAGAAAACCATTTCCCTAAAAACAAAAAAATAAATCAATGAAAAAAAAAGTTACCCCGTTAAGATGGTATAGAAAAATCGTAACATATACATCATAAAATTTAATAAAAATTTTACCTCCGATTTGCTTGCATCATTTGAAGTAAGTCCCTCACTCGTTTTGTATATTTTGGAGATAGTAAAACCACACTTATTTAGGCCTAATATATAGTAGCGACTTCACACATTGATTTATTGTAACAACACAAATGTGATAGTATGTGGGTCCCACTAGAAAAATATATTGACTTGTGAATTGTTTTTTTTATTCATTTATTGGAAATAATTTTATTTCAGATTACCTCATTCATTTCTGATTTGTGGATAACTTTTTTTCTATATTAGACAAACTTTATGTAATAAAACTCATATTCCTGAATATAGAGTGAGTTTGAGATTTGGCTTTGTTCATTTTGGACATCTATTCAACTTAAACAAGAATCTTTTTTAATACATTGACCTTCTTACTTAAATTGGTTAGTTGAAATTTAATTATTTCTGATTCTTTTACCATATATTAATTTACCAAACTTGTTATGATTTACATTATTAATCATAATTGATAGATGCATATCCGTTTTTGCTTTCTCACTTGGTTTAAATAATATAAAAATATTCCCAATGAAACCTTAGGAAACTACATTTTGCAACGTAACTGGAACTATCTTTTCTCATAATTTTAACCAGTTTGCAATTACCCAATGTATACACATCAAAAGAATAAGGCTATGTCTTTTTGCATTAATTTCGTGTTACTACAAAGAATTATTACTAGTATTTAGGATTTATCATTATTATTAATTTTTTTATCACTTTATTATTTTCGCATTTACCTCCAAGAAAAGTAATACTTAAATAATTGACTCTTTGAAGAGTCTAAAGGAAAACAAAAGATTTTAAATCTTTTTCTGATTTAAACTTCAAAATTTATCTATACATCTCATTTGAGATTAACTAAATCTAGTCAAGTAAATTAGTGTTGTTCTTTTTCTTTTTTTAAATCTTTTTTGACTTGTTCCAAGAAGGTTTACCTACAAGTATAGGATCGAGAAAATGAAAATTTTAGAAGTACATTGACTTCACTAGCTAGCATACTGTCAGAAAGGCTTTTGGTGGTATTATTGACGCATACCATGATGAGGTCGCGGAGTGGGGTGAAGTTATTTGTTAGCCCTGAAAAATATTCTACTAGTTTTAAAGCACGAAATAAATTGATTTACTTTTTCTTTACTTGAATCATAATTACAAGAATCTAGATTTGAGTTAATCTTGATTTAAGATTGTAAGAAATAATATGAGTCGGAAAGAAATATTTCTTTTTATTGAATTGAACATGTTCATTCATTTTGACTATTTCAGCATATTTCTCATACTTATTTGAAGTAATACAAGTATTAGATTAACTAGTATTAATATCTACATGTGACATGATCATATCAACATGAAGAAGCCAACTCATGAATACAAAAGGAGATCGATCGTATTATATGTGAAGTTACCAAATTAGAGGTTAATTAGTTATTAGGACTAATGTGAAAATAGAGAGACTTGGGGGTGTTAGTTGGAGTAATAACCAACTTAGTCTATAAAAGGACTAAGTCGGTTATTACTGTGTTTAACCGAAAAACAAGAGCTGGTAGCTCATTCTTCTTCCTTCTTCTATGAAATCAAAAGATTGAATGCTGAATTGTTCTTGCATGTTATAATTCAGTTGTAGTTCGATCAATCTAGTACAAATTAACATGGTATCAGAGCGGTTATCGATCAATTAGAGTTGTTATCTCACAAATCTGAAAAACAGTCAATTTCAGAGCTTGAGAAGGTGCAACAATGGCGGACGATGAAGTTGAGAAGCTTCCTCACAATCATCCATTATACCTAAAGGATTCAGATTCACCGGGAACAGCTTTAATAGCTCTCAAACTCACAGGGCCAGAAAGTGGAGTAGATCTATGAAAGTAGCTCTCCTTGTGAAGAACAAATTAGGTTTTGTGGATGGAACTTGTTAGAAAACTTCGTACAAAGGAGAATTGGTAGCGCAATGGGAGAGATGTAACGCAGTGGTCGTCTCATGGCTCAGCAGCACTGTAGCGGCAGAGTTGGTGCCGAGCATCATGTACGCTTCAAGTGCGAGGAAGATCTGGGACGAGTTCAAGGAAAGGTTTGACAAAGATGATCTAACTAGAATTTATCAAATTTCTGCTGACATTGCGGCTCTCAAGCAAGGTATAGATTCTGTGACCTCTTATTTCTCAAAGCTGAAAGACTTATGGAATGAGTTAGATATCCTAGCACCTTTATCCTCATGTGATTTTGAGGAATCACGTCCATATGTAGATCACCTGGTGAGACAAAGGCTTTTACTATTTTTAATGGGATTAAATGAGAGTTACAATCATGTGAGGAGTGCAGTGTTACTAAAAAGGCCAGTTCTTACTGTGAATCAAGCCTATGTTGTTGTAGTGCAAGAAGAAAGTCGGAGGGAATTAGGAGTGGTTGAAACAAATAGGGAGCCAATAATTATGTTAGCAGGCAAAGGAAATCAATTCATGAAAGGGAAGAAAATAGGTATGATCTGTGAACACTGTGGATAGAAAGGGCATTTGAAAGAGAATTGCTACAAAATAGTTGGGTACCCTGCAAATTTCAAAAGTAAGAAAAAGAGTCAGTTTCCTACAAAAACATATGCTAACAATGTTAATGGAGAGAAAGAAGTAACAATGAATGAACAACCACAAGGAAACTACATAACTGAAGATCAGTACAAGCACTTGGTGTGCCTGTTGACAAAATCATCTATTGAAGGAAAATCCAACAATACATCAAGCTCAGCAAATATGACAGGTATAAAGTCACTGCTATCTAATGCAAGATCATATGATTGGATAGTAGATTCAGGAGCATCACACCATATCACTTTTTGGAAAGAAGTTTTAGAAAAATTAAGGAGAATCAACAAAGGAAATAATAGAGGAGTTCAAATACCCACAGAAGGTAGATCAGAAATAGTACACATGTGATGCAACAATACTAGGAGGGCAGAAGATTAGAAATGTCCTACATGTACCCGACTTCATATTCAATCTCATAACAATGTCTAAGTTGACCAGAGATTTGTGTTGTTCAGCCTGCTTCTACCCTGGTTTTTGTGTGTTTCAGAGGCTTTACAATGGCAGGGTATTGGGGATTGGTAGAGAAGATGAAGGCTTGTACATAATCAGGAATGAAGAAGATGACATAGTAGTTAGATCAGTCAAGAAGGAAGAAATAAGTGCAGAATTGTGGCATCAAAGGATGGGACATGCTTCTATAGGTTCATTGCAATGCTTGCCAGATCTGAAGAATAAAGTGAATAAAATTGTGCAGATATTCTGTGAGATTTGCCCATTGGCTAAGCAAAATAGACTAAGGTTTCCTACTAGTAGTCACCAATCTGATCATATTTTTCAGCTTATACATGTAGATGTCTGGGGACCATACAAAACTGCAACTTATGACAAGAAACAATATTTTGTAACCATAGTAGATGACTATAGCAGATACACTTAGTGTTGAGGTCTGACAATGGTAGAGAGTTTTTCAACAAAAACTGCAATGAATTACTTGCATCCTTGGGAATAGTACATCAGAGTAGTCGTCCTTACACTCCACAACAAAATGGAGTGGTAGAGAGGAAACATAAACACATATTGGAGGTGGCAAGATCATTGAAATTTCAAAGTAGCATACCTGCTAGATTTTGGGGGGACTGTGTCAAGAGTGCAGTCTACTTAATCAATAAGCTTCCCACAACAGTGTTGAGTGGAAAATCTCCTTATGAAAGACTTTCTGAAAAAACACCAAAGATAGATTACCTCAGAGTGTTTGGATGTTTGTGTTATGCTAGCACACTTCCAAGAGGGGACAAATTTGCAGCAAGAGCTTTGAAATCAGTGTTCATTGGATACTCTGAAGTACAGAAAGGATATAAGTTGTATGACCTGGAGTCCAATAAGTTCTTGGTGAGCAGAGATGTAAATTTCAGAGAAGACATATTCTTTTTTAAGACCTTACCTTGTCAGCCTAAGAACTTGTTCATTCCTGATACTGATCTACCAACAGTCACAAAAGATCAGCCTGCTTCAACACCTATAGTTGATAATGATCTGGGAATAGAAATTGAAGCTGAGATAGATTGCTCCTTATATGCCACCAGATATGCCACTGAATGAGACAACAAATGACATGGAGATACTGAATTCAGATGAGAGGGATGGACAAAGTACCTCACTACAACAAGAACATAAAGAAGTACAATAGCAAGAACATGCAGAGGAGCTACTTGGGCAAGTGCCATCAATTGTGCAACAACCTACAGAGACTAGGAAGTCTATAAGAACACCAAGACCAGCAGTGTGGCTCAAGGATTATATGACTACTTGCAAACCAAGAGGAGACTGTCTCTATTGAGTTTCAGACTATGTAAGCTAT